TTCTGGAGAAAGTTTTATTTGTTTTATTTCTGCTAGAATAAAAGCTGTTTTTAATTTTTTTTAAAATTTAAGGTCACAATTATTAGTCCCTTTAAGCTATTTTTTTTCAGTAGTCTACAGCAGTGGTTCTCAAAGTGGGGGTTGGGACCCCTGAAGAGTCGCGGGACAATGAAGGGGGGTCACCTTGTGATTTCCAAAATTCTATTTTCATTAAACCATAAGAATGACCATATTTTATCCATAACCTACTGAAAAGAAAAAATTGTTGTATATAGTTACTATATACTGGATACTATAGTAGCTTATAGTTACTAGTTCTATTGGATTGCGACCCCTGGGGTAATTACATTATATTTAAGACACAGCAAGTGTCTTAAAAACGTTTTTTTTAAAACTTGCGCCATTGCATGCAAGGTTTCTGTATTTATAACCACCTCAGAGGATATTGGGGTTCGCGAGTCACTGGCATTGTTATTTTGGGGGTCGCGGGCTGAAAAGTTTGGGAACCCCTGGTCTACAGAACAAACCATCGTTATACAATAACTTGCCTAATTACCTTAACCTGCCTAGTTACCCTAATTAACTTAGTCAAGCCTTTAAATGTCACTTTAAGCTGTACAGAAGTGTCTTGAAAAATATCTAGTCAAATATTATTTACTGTCATCATGGCAAAGATAAAATAAAACTTCTCTAAATATAATTAAGGATGGCTAATAATTCTGACTTCAACTGTATATTTTGTATATTATAATATATAATATTATCTTTTTATTTAGTTATTTAGAGTATGAAAATGAAAAAAAAATGTTATTTAAAAATATAAAAGAAAATATAAAAATGCTAAACCCCACATAATTGATTTGTGTTGGGACTACTTGAAGGAATTAAGTTAACTTATTAGTTTTCACAAATATAAGTTAATTGAACATAAACATGCTCCCCTCCCACCCCTTCACAATAATCTCGAATTTTGTTGTTTTATCTTAATTTAAATAAGTAGTTGTCATTTTTTTTTTAGTGTAATTTAGTCATCAGTTTAAAATGCACTTCACATTTAGGCTTGATTTTAGCCAAATGATTCTCGATAAAACCAATCCAAGGTCAGGTTGTGTAGAATTTGTTCATAAATAATTTTTAAACATTGTTCATACATTTTTAGCCAAAAATAAAGTACATGAAAATAAACAACACTTTTGAGTTACATTTTTAATACAGACATCATTGTGTGCTTATAATAAATGTGAGCGAATCATTTGCCATTTTGAATCAGTTGAGATGCTATTGCTTTTCTCTCGCTCATACTATTTTGCTTTATGTGATCAAGCAACCCAATGTATTACTTGTTATTGAATCAACTCAGTTGCTCAGTTGCAGTGTTTTCATTAGCTAAGTGTTTCCAAGGACGTGAGTGCCATGAAAAATAATCAGACAGAACATTTTATGCTGAGTCATTTTTATAGCATCTTTTTAAAGCTGAAACTCAATCATGAAAATTGTTATTATAATGAATAACTATTATGATTAGCATTAAGGAAGGCTACATTTATCCTATTAAAAGATTTTGCCATTCATTTCTTACAGCACCTTAGATAGTTAGACTCCATATGGAATTAGACACAGATTGAAAGAGATAGACTGGCAGTCTTTACAAAGGTACACCAGGGCTATCCGATATGGGGAAAATATCTAAAATGCGATTTATTTATTTTTTTGACTGATAAAGTGATTTTGATTTGGTTTGTGATTTAGTTTTGTAGTCAAGCTTTAGCTCAATAATCTGTATCGTAGCTTCTTACTGCTAAAAGGCAGTGAGTGCTAACTAAAAAAGGAACTTAAAAGATACTTAACATTTATTCAAATTTATATTCAGAAATAAACACTCATTTTTCTCCAGAGCAAACAGTAAACACAAATAAAATGTCCATAATTTTCTGTAAACATGAACTCAAATTAGGAAGATATTGTAGCTTATTATGCAAACACAAATAATAATAATTATAAAAATACAGAACACTCAGCAAACTTACATGGCTGAAACAACTCTGAAATTGTACTTTGCTGTTTTGTACTTGCTACTAGATTGTCACTGGCATTACTTTCATTTTTCAATACTTTCATCACTAAATTGTGCTCACACAATTGGCTAGTAAGATTATCACACACAGATGGCATTCATGCATTTGCTCTGGGCAGGGGAAATGTATTAATACACATATATTTCATATCGCAGCCTCTTGCTATTAGCTAATTGCAACGTTTTAAATTGTGATTTGCAATTCAATTTCAATTATTCGCTCAGCCCTAGTACACCCTGTATAAAGGCTGTAGCTCTCATGAACTAACACAAATTTTTACAACATGTTTCAATAGTTTCTTCCTGGAATTTGTTTGTGAAGGTAATTTTTGTTAAGTGGAAAAAATATTTAAGAAACGTGTTTTGAAAGTTGAATAATTGGTGTTAAACAACAGTACAATATCTTGTTTTTATTATTATAAAAATTGCTCTTGTACTCTTGAAAAGCAAACATTTTTACAGCTATTCCATAAAATAACCTAAAGTAGCTTTTTGCTCAAAATATCTTTAAAGAACTTTTTTGCTCTTAGTGGCAAGGAAATTTTTATTACCTGAAGAACATTTTGTGGAATTAAAAGGTTTGGTGGATGTTAAACGCTCTTATTGGAACCATCATGCCAATAAAGAACCTTTATTTTTAAGAGTGTGCCTTATAAAAAATCTCAATCCGCAGAATACTGTTTTAATAATGTATTTACACATTATGGACAGCAGGTGGCGATGTTAAACAACGCATTCCTCTGACCACTGACAAGAAACATTTTGGTTCATGACTATTTTAATCCACTAGGATGTTTTTTATTTTACGTCGTACTCTTTTTTGTTTTATTATTATTATGCTAAATGTATGCCATGTGTCCCAGCATACCTACTAATTCATAGGTGTAATTGAAAATACTGTCGCTATTAGATATTCAAACATTGTTATTTGTGTGAATTCAGTCCTGTCATTGAGAAATGTCTCTGTGCGTAGTTCACTGTGTCAAACATATTAACCATCATTCTAGTATAATCAGTGTCAGTGGAAAACCTTAGCCTTGCATTAACTCGAATGGATTGTAACCGTGGAATGATTATCAATTTTGCTCAACAGTTCGAGGGCACAAAGCAACACAGAATTCTTGCAGTTATTGAGGTCAATAGATAATGGGTTATTTCATCATAATAAGAGAGCAGGGGTCATGGGAGAAATTACCTGCAGTTCAGTGCTAGCTGGCTAATTCAGACATCAAATGCATGATGGTCAAATTCTATCTATCTATCTATCTATCTATCTATCTATCTATCTATCTATCTATCTATCTATCTATCTATCTATCTATCTATCTATCTATCTATCTATCTATCTATCTATTTATTTGTCTTTCTGTCTATGTCTATCTGTCCGTCCATCCATCCATCAATCCATCCATCTATCCATCTAACTGCCTATCTGTGCCTGTCTGCCAGCCATGATTAAGAAGATGCTACGAATGCACCTTTGGCTTCATCACCACATAATAGTTTAAATCCTTAAGAACTGTGGTAATGACTAATGTACTTTTCTGAAATTATATGGAATTCATTTGTAGGTCTGTTCATCGGTTCATATAATTACAAATCTTGGATAATTGCAGGGTGAATGGCAATTATACGTTCTGCAGTCAGAAGGGTGTATTTACAGAAGACCAACACTCATAGTGATATTTATCCATACTATTTAAGTCTGTGTAGATGCTGGTGTAATTCAAAAGATAGATTTTTTTTACTCAGTATGATGAGCAAACATTAATGATAAAACAGTACAATTTAATTTGTTGCCTAAATTGCACATCTTAAAATTAAATCTGGTGTTCTTTTATTTTCAGTGAGCTGTTGCTTACAGTGAATTGTTAATCATTCTGTTTCACACAATTCCTCAAATAAAAAAGCACAGAAATGGCAACAGATCAGAAGAACATGAGTAATTCCAGCATTATGGATGTGACATTTGCAGTAAAAACTCAAAACATACATTCTCTGAGAAAGTCTATGTTTACATTATATTGAGACATCTGTTTATATTTTCCTAAACAATTCACCACAGAGTTGAGGGATCAGAAAAATATCAATCTCTAAACATTTTTTTTTTTGTATTTTAAATGAGGGAAATAAACATGCATTATGGATGTGACTAAAAAGTTTGTGAGTTATACAACATACTTTGTAGAAATTCTGTGAATTAAACTGCACAGCCCCCCCCCCATCCCACCCCCCCCCCCCCCCCCCCCAAAAAAAAATTTTTTTTAAAAAGGATAAGAGTTCACCCTCTACAGAACAAAAATAATTGATTTTATTTTATTTGACATTTTTGCATTTATGAGGAAAAAGCTTCATTATGGATGTGACATCTTTTCGTTATGGATGTGAATTTGCCAATTGTGTGACTTTGGTAAATCAAATATAATAGTTTAAACCCGTTGACAGAGACATGTTTGAGTATTTTAAAAGTCCTGTAAAATACTTTTTTTACACAAAAATATAGAAAAGATTTCGCTATTTTGGTGGAAACTATTTTTTCATGGCAAGGTTGACATTTGCATGGAATTGCTCACTCAAATACTTTTAATAATAAATGTTAAAAATGCTGAAAAAAGCTTAATTAATTACATTTCCACAGTCTATATCATCACATATTTATATAGAAACTGTCTTGTCCAGAAACACGTATATAATAAGTAGTCTATAAATGTAAGCATGCATTTGTTTTGAGGGGCAGATTATTAATTGGATTAAATTTTGCATAGGCTATACAGTAGGCAATAGCCTATACTTTATCATTTGCGTTTTACGCACAAAAAGCTCAAATTAATCTCAGACATATATCTTTCTACATATAAACAATTTGAACTGTTACGCTTAAGTTTTTGGTCTAAGTTAAAACGAGAACATTGTCAAAACGTTGAGCTTGAAATAAAGTTTAAAGCGGCGCGTTTGAAGAGAAGCGCGCGCAGGAAGCGGCTCAGCTGTATTTCTGTTGGCTGAGTGCAGACCCTGCCCTGATTGCCTTATATCCATGTCTATTGACGTGTAGAGAGCAGATGGAGGCAGAGGGACTGATCTGATCTCTAGTCCTCAGAGGTCATTCTCGCTACAGTTACAGCCACTTGTTGCCAAATCGCTCCGAGAGCGCGAGCGCGTCGCGAAACCGTTTTCGAAAAGAGCGATTTATTTGCGTTCGCGGCACACTTCTAGATGTTAAGACTGGACTACAACCACTTCTGACTTTGTTTGGGGAAAAAGGTCACTTTTGAGCACATTCGTCGCATTTGACGGGAGAAGCATGGTTGACAACACAAGCATAGCGACTAAATCTGCACTGGTAAGCACGAGCTTTTGCTCATTGGGTAGAACTGAGGGAACGTTATGTTTATTGTGTTACATTAGTTTATGTACTGTATTTCATTGTTTAGTGCACTTATCTGCTGTTTTAGCCAAGCGAATGCTGTGTTGGGCTACAATGCACACGCTGCCCTTCGACCTACAGCTACAGTAGCAACGCAGCGAATATATATAGGCTACATACATACATGCATACACACACACAACTGTCATATTTCTGTCACTGAATTATTTGAGGTCGGTTCTGAAATGTTAGCTTTCATTTATTTACAGCTTCATTGATGATGACCGCCAGGTAGTTTGTGTAATTGAACTTTTTTGTGGAATCATTTTCCCTGAGAAATCACTATTCTAGCCCGGAGACAGACCTGCAAAGTTCATGTATCCTGTCAATTGTGATTAAATTATTATTTAATCGGTGTAGGCTAATATTAGAAACAATATTTTAACAGTTCACCAATGTTTAATTGCTGCATTACATGTAATAAATTGGCGCCGAGCTGGCAGATTACCTCAATTTTCCCGACTAATTTGTAAGTTATAAAAAAAGCAACAAAAAATAAAATAAAATCAAGTAAACAAAACCGGCAAGTTAGTGGCAAATGAATAGATGAAAACAAAGTTATGACAGCTAAGGTTATGGAAATATTTTTATTGACACTCAGTCTTGTGTTTTTCCTTTTTAATCTTTAAATAAGCTGCGTTTTTTAGGCCTATATGTTAGTAAACTATTATAATATTAATAGGCCTATTACAATATTATAAAGACTATTCTCGACTAAAGATTTCACAAGTACTTGATTTGCATTACATATTATGCAAACATTTTAAAGAAAATATTGCTGAACCATAAAATGTATGTAATTGTGTCTGTGTGTGTGTGTGTGTGTGTGTGTGTGTACTGCCTAGGCACGTCGATGCTCTCTCAAAATGTCATTTGGCGCCACTAGATTAGCATTAGCTAAACAACAATTAGGCCTATCGAAAATTCTTTTTTAAACCAATAGATAAATATTCTGTTTCTGTTTAACATGTTAAACTACAATAAAGTAGCCTAAAATATAAAGTTTTTATTCTTATTTTACCGCCTGAGGTAGACATCGCGCGAGAAACGTCAATACTAGCAAACTAACTTTACCTTGAGTTTTTAGCCTACTGCTTTAGGATGACAGGAGTTCTGGCTAACTTAAAAACTTTTGTAGCCTACTTGGTAAAAGTGCCATCTATTTTTATGACAATTGACACTGTAATTTAATGTGAAAAACAATATGTAACAGCTACTTTTCTCCCCCATCCCCCACAGTTTTTGGCGGGGGGGGGTCAAGGTAACGTTATTCAAAAATGCTCTCCGACTCTCCATAACGTCTCATAATTCGCACACTTCCCTCAAAACTCGCCATAATTCAGCCAAAAACTATAGTAACTTTAGCTTTGTGTCGCCCACAGCAAGCCGCGTTCTCGTCGGCGAGCAGCCTTCCTCTGCTGGTCAGCTCCCCCGGCGCGCACGGTCAGTCGGGCGGCGGTGGCGGGATGAAGCTGGAGGCGGTCATGGAGAACCTGCAGCGGCAGCAGGCGGCTCGACTCGCCCTGGAGGAGAAGCTCCGCCAAGCCGAAAAGGAGAAAGACATCAGGTCTATGGTAGAGTCACAGATTCAACAGCAAGCTCTGGCATTCCGCCACTACCAAGCAGCCGTCAGGGGAGCGTTCGCCGCGGGAGTCCCGAACTCGAGCTCCGGGCACCCGCTTGAGCGCAGAGCCGAGTCCGATATCGATGATGAAGATGATGAGGATGACGACCCGGAGCTGGACCGCGGCATGGACGATGAAGAGCGCGACATGGACGAAGATGACAGTATGAACGAGGGTGGAGGGGATGAAGACTTGGAAGGACCCCTTGCTCATTACCCACCTCGCCACGCTGTTTATCCAGGTGCCGGTCAGAGTCCAAAAAGTACCCCGATACATCTGTCCAGAGTCCAACCTCCGTATCCAGCTCCCAGACAGGCGGAATCGCCGAGTGCTTTGGCTCCACAAGCGCAGTCGCAGCACCACGAATGGACTTATGAGGAACAGTTCAAACAGGTATGTCCATCACTGAGACCTGTAGTTTAGTAATGTCCTCTCATAACCATTGAATGTGCACCCTGGTGAACTGTTTGGTGATTACTAATGTGCGAAGTTTAAAAGCATGAAGTGAGATTGGGTTCAGTTCTATGAGAAACTCTGTGCTGAAGTTACAGCATCTTTCAGAACTAATGTTACACGTTTAGTCATCATCATTAGGGAAAAAATGGAAGCAGCTCAATTCTTCCTTCGCTGAACATCATTGCTTTATCATAATATGATATTTAGTGTCCAGACACTTTCATTATGCATTTACATTATATTACATCAACACACAATATTAGCAGTCTGCATTGCAAAAGTTTAATTGCTGCTTATACTTTAATTAAAAAATGTAACTTACAACCTGTAACAGCAACTTGCAAGCTAAACATCACATTTTTGCTTTACTGATAATTTCAGAAATGTCCTAAAATATCTAAATGATTATAGCAATTTTATGATTTAGGTCTAAAATGTGCTTTGAAGAGTGCACAGAGAACAAATGCTTTCAGATTACTAACTGTTTGTGAACATTCAGGTTTATGTGCAAGAATGCTTCAGAGTTATGCTGCAGCAGTTTAGTTCCACTGTTTTCTCAAGGGATAATTTAGAGCGATACACTGAGAGTGAGGCTCTTAAGCAAACACAGATCTATACAGAATGAGCCTGGATGGACTTGTCATTCCTTATTTATGATAGATCATTCAGAGGCCAAATGAGACATGCACATTAGCGGCTGCATTAGTGTAAGCACTGGCTTAACGTAAGGTGAACTATGTAGTTTGAATAAGAACAGCTGCTTTGAGCGAAAGTCAAGAAAACTGAGAAAAATAATTCATTTAAAGTCTATTGAGGAAATTCAATGCAAAGGTATACTTTATAGTGCAGCTGTAGAGTTTTTGTTTTGATTTACAAAGGATAAAAGATACGGATTAGTGTATTTATTTTTATCATAAAAAAATGAATGTCAACTACAATGTTTGTGTTAAAAAAAGAAGAAACTCTGAGAACATTGTTACGCAACACAATTAATGTTGTTTTGCAGAAGTCTAGGACATGCATTTTGTAATCGCTCTTGAGCTATTTAGACAAATCAAGTGAAATGCAGAAACAATGAAAGGATGCCGATGGCATTTGGTAGACTGACTGGAGCCAGTGTACTGCCTGTTTTCAACACTTTAAAAAAATGTCTAAATGCTATAAATGCCTTCTTGAAGTAAGAAAGGCTGTTTAGAGGAATGTAAAAATAGACATTAAACTCCCTTTTGACCAAATTCCTGGTGTCTGTATTTAGGAAAGTAATTAAACGCTAAATACAGACTACTGGTTAGCTTTGAAAGAGCTTTATAAGCCAGCTCGTTATGTTTCATTTTTGTTTCTGTTTGAAATTCTTTAATCAAAACTAAAGCCAAAATAAATAAACGACTCTTAATGATGAAAAGCTGTTGTGCAACTTGCAGTGCATTTCTTTTTTTAGTCAAGCCTGCGCTGGATGTGTGTAGTTCTTCTATTTACACTGATATTACAAATGAGTCATTCATCAAAGGAAAACAGAATAGATAGGACAGAGCCAGCCAGACAGGGAAGGGTCGGAAGAGACAAAGTTAAACCTGTTGCCATATGGCCATTTATTGTCAAAGAAACAGCGACGGGAGAGAAAAAAAGCAAGTAGTTGCGTAGAGTTTTGGCAGGAATGCAGGAAACTAGACCTGGTGGCATTCCAACCTGGCTCCCTCCCAATAATGCTGGGATATCCCTCTCAGGCTGCGTATGGGTCGGCTTGAAGCCAAGCCATTACGAAATAGGAACAAACTGCATACTTCAGTACAGTCTAGCCAGGCAAATATATCTAAGCGCGTGCGCATGTGTCTAGAGAATTACATCTTACACCGACATTGTTTTACACTGAAATATTTATTGCAGTTTTATATTTATGTAGTGTATAAATGTGTGCACATGCATTGAAATAGCTGAATTTTTTATTTATTTTTTTGCATTGCACAATATGTGTTATTAGCAATATTGCAGGAATGTTTTACTGAGGTTTTTCCGAGTTTGAAAACAAGATGAGAATAGTAAACTGTGTTGTTTTTAATCAGTAAGTAAGTACAATTTTTAAATATAAATTTTTTATATTAATATGATTTAAAAACCCAAATAATTTTGGCTATTGCAAAACTGATCATTACTCAAATCTTTATGGTTAAACCATACTTTAAAATGTATTTTAATATAATTTGTTGCTCAAGAAACCACTATTGCTGCTTGATATTTTTTTTGTGTGTGTGTAAACCATGATATAAAGGATTATCTGAATAGATTGTTTAAAATTCTGTTATTCATTATTTTACAGTATAACATTACAGTATAAAATTTTGACGGTATGATAACCATGCATAAAAATATCATGGTATCACGGTGTTGTGATTACTGCTCTAAAATACATTCTTTTAAAATGTCTGGTAAAAACTAAAACTTTTTTCTCCTTTGAAGCCAATAGATTTTATTTTGAGAAACATTTATAATATTTTGGAGTATGAAACATGTCAGGCTAAATAATTAAAATAAATCATTGACTTCTGCTGTCATCATTACTTACAAAAACACAGATTTCTTTACAATTTAAAACAGCATCTTTAGAGATCTTATCTGCTGGAGATACTGTTGTCATAAAAACTAAAAAGCCTTACACATACCTTAGGAATGGTAAAGCTGAAAATTTTGGCAGTTTTAAAACCTTGACTTTTCCAAACTGTGTTAAACCTTGAAAATGGTTATTGTCTCATGCTTCAATTAATCAATTAATTAATCAATTAAGCATGCTTATTAAATAAAACAATATTATTAAATGATTAGTATTAATACTAGTTAATATTTATATGAGTTAATATTGAGAGCAGCAGGCTTTATCTCAACCTATTTGAATCATCAAATGTTCGCTAAAATACAGATTGTACTTTTCCCTCAGCAAATATCGCTCTTTTGATTACTCAGTATGACCTCCACTTTAGTTTCTGGGCGTATGTTTGATCCCCCTTCTCTTTTCCTCTGCCATGTTTTGCAAACATAAAAAACTCACAGAATGGCTTTTTCCCATAACAAGGCTTTTACAGGGCTATAGAGGGGGCTGGGGAGGGCTGAACGGGGTGGAGGAAACCCGGTGGTGGTGTTTGGTTTCACCACATAAGCTTGTGGAAAAGAAGGTTTCTCTTTCCTTCTCCAGCCCGTTTTAGTAAAATTAGTCTAATGTATTGTTTTTTGACACTGAGCGTATTAACACTGAACTCTGTTTGTTCTCAGAAGAGGCAGATCAGCACTAAATCCTGCACAATGAACAGCTCCAAACCCTCTTTTACATTTTAAAAAAGGAGTTCAGGGCTGTTTATTCAGCACCTAATGGTGACCTAATTTACTCGAAGTCACTCACATTTAAGCAAAACATCTCTTGGAGAAAATAGGAAATGAGGCAATTGTGAAATCACTGAAAGGAAGACAAAGTTCCCCCCCAGCCAGGAAGGTGAAGCAGTCTTTGTGGTTAAACAAACGTTGTCATTGGGAAGGGGTTTAAAGATATGCACCTCTTTGTTTTGCTGAACACACACACACACACAAAACGTGTGGAAGTGAGAGACAGAGAGCCTACATGAAATAGCCTCTACAGTTAGTCTGTTGATATACTTGTATGTCCTGTCCTGAATTCTTCTCAAGTAACACACCTCAATTTAAGCCCATTATTACCATCATAAAAATGCTCGGAGCCCCTTCTTTGAAATAGACACGCATGCGCACACTCTCTCTCACACACAGCACACACAGTAACTCCAGTGTCAACATAAGACATTCCTTAACTTTACAGGCCTGCTCCACCCCTACGGTCTCCCGTTCTGTTTGATTGCACTGCTTTGCTCATATGTTTTGGGGTCTGGAGAGCCATTAAGTTCCACAGCATGCAGTCTCAAGCTAAAACACATGCATGGAGCCAGTTCTCCATATGGCACAAAGGTTGTGATTTTTTATTTTTTTTATCCAGCAGCACTGTCATTAGCCTTGTGCGGTAGAAGCTAAGGCAGGCCTTCTGACAGGTGTGGCGGGTTCATTTTGGACGTGTGCTGTCAGTGGAAATATTTAATAGAATTCCAGTCGTCTCAGTTTTAGATCACCTGCTTTATCTGTGTCCACTTGGTGAGCTGTTATAAAGTCCATGTTGAACATGTCATCAGCTGCCAGTTTTGAAGAGATCTGATAATCCTCCTGTGAGCATTAAACATACTGAACATTCAGAACGGGTCACAGACCCACAGCTAGAGCTACATCAACATCTTGCTCACTGACTGCACTAACAGAAACGGTGACACATTTTTTCTCACCTTAATCCTGTGTTTGTTTCTGCCTCAGTCATTACTCATACTCTGATAGTGAGTGATTGCAGGTTGCTGTTGTTTTTTCAAGCTGGAGATGTTCATAAATTTGTGCATTCAAAATCAGATTCGGATAATACCATATTAACCAGAATACAAACAATAACATTGCATTAGCTGATGTTAGTAATTTATTTACATTTATTACAGTAGTTATTCATCTTTATGAACCTTATTTAATGAAAAATTAACTAACGTTAACAAGCATGAATTCAGATTTTAACATTGCATTAGTAAATGTTAGTTAATTAATATACTGTATGCGACACGAGTATTGTTCATTCTTAGTAGTGGAGTAACGGATCACAAATCTCACTGTTTGGATCACATTATGGTTTTTTAGTTACAGATAAGACCATTTTTCGGATCACTAAAAAAGGGAAGGAGACAAATGTAATTCGCTTTCCATTTATTACTAAAACAGTACTGCAAGACACTTGTGGTTTTAACAAACAGAACTTAGAACCTGTAATTTAATGATAATAATCAGCTAAATAAAAGTACATAGTAAAATGTTTACTGCCCTGAAAAATCCCTGTTACTACTACTGTTGCTGAT